TCGAGATTCTATATACTTGAAGTTTTGACAAGCATTAATGCATGTACAAAAGAAACATTCATATACAAGTTTTGTTAACATATTTTGCTGCATTTTCATCCGTTACTTGGTAGAGGATAGCTGGATGTGTTGCTTGGCATGTTCTTATCCTCAAAAACTATGAACTAAACTATGCTAGGTCAAGTTTAGCATTGGGTCGTCACATGACCTAAACCAAATAACTCCCACAGATCCCGTCATTTTTTAGGCTGCTTGGGACCAAATCAATCAATAACACAGATACTCCAAGTTTTGTATTCCAGCTCAACTAGCAGCTACATGATTTTAAGCCCGATTTGTAAATCGTTGAGCTCGCTGACAGGTCACGGTGTTATCGCGTGCAAATCGTGGGGGATTAGCGGACGATGAATGCTCGGCAATCTGTTAGTATGAGAGAGCCAACAAGCATAAAAGACGCTCGCAGACGCGTCACACAGCCCAGAAAATTACCTAGCATGCTAGATATCCAGAGCTGTCGCACAACTTAACCTCAGTGATGTCATGAGATACAGCCAATCAGAGCGAGGCATGGGTTGAGGTCACCGGGTAAATCTTATTTTTTCTTTTTTTGCATTTTTTCGCATCGCGCAAACAGTTTGTAGCACTAGTTTCTGTTCGACGTCCATATTCGCGCGTTGTGTTCTTCGTTATCTTCGCTGGGTATTGCCGCGCGTGCTGTTTCCGGTTCGTTTTATCGTGTGATTTTTCTTGACAAAACGTTGTTTGTAGACAAGATAGAATCGTTGGGTTTTGTCAACTCGTGTAGTGCGTTACCTCCTGTTGTGGATGTACAACTTGAACACTCCTGATTTCACAGAGAGCAAGTCATGTAGTGTGAACCGCACAGTTCAGCCCGACGTTTTAAAATCATGTAGTGTGATCTAGGCTTAAAAAGTTCTCACAACTTTTAAGGTATAGGGTAGGCAATTTTTAGTACAGCTTGTACTGTAAAAACTTTAAAAATTAAGTAACCTGGCTGCCTTAAAATTTTAAGTTCATTGAAATGGAAAAATTTAGTTATTACAATGAAGGAGATTGATTTAATCATCAGAAACTCAAAATATTATGTTATCTGAACTTTATAAATTATTTAAGTTGATTTTACAAAAGAAAAATGTTCATGAAAATATTTTTTTACAATATACGATAGCGAGCTAGCTTTGAAAGCATGAGATCCCACCCTCCCTTCAGAGCGTCTCAGAAGCCACACCTCCTTTAAAACACATTGACACATACAGCAGCAAACAAAAGCGTCACGAGAGACGGCGTTAATCTACCTCATATCTTAAAGCATATAACTTTACAATAATAATGAACAAAAATAACTTAGAGCTCTTGTACCACCTGACTGCTGCAGATTCATTTCAGAGTTGATCGTGTCGCCATTGAAACACATAAATTCGTGTCATGAACCGCTCCGAGTTTAACATCATGGGTGTCCATCTCTTCCTGATAACAGAACACTGTAAAAACTAATCCTGCAAAAAACGGTAAACTACTGTGGTTGCCAGCATCATACGGTGTGTTACTGTTTTTGTGTTAGAGCATATAGCTGTTAAATTAAAGTTTTATACTGTAGCCGACAATACAGTATTTAGCTGTTAATTTCAAAAACAGTAACACACCGTATTTTTACAGTGTGATGCTGGCAACCACAGCTGCCAGTAGTTTACCGTTTTTTTAACAGGATTATTTTTTACAGCTATCTGTAGCATAAACTGGCTGTTTTGTTTCAGGAGGAACTGTAAGAGGTGGCCGCGGTTTCGTTTGTGGCTCTCAGTGACAAACGTCTGTCTAACTCTGCACAGCATGAAACCCTCTGATGATGTGTGACGTCTGGTAAGAAAATACAAGCGTTGACAGGCAGGTTGACATCATATCAGAGTCAGACCGAATGCAATGATTGGACGAACATTTTATGGTTCTACAACTTCCACAGACGATATATTAATATATTTAGAGCACTTAACTTAGTGATTGCTGTCAGGATGTGAAGAGACTTTCAACCGGCGTAACAAAAAATGTTTCTGGAACAAATCACCTACCCTGAATTTAATGTCGCTGACATTAAAGTCACGTGACCGTTTATAGCCGATTTCTTTCCTGATTCATAAAAGTTGTGTTCATTTTTGTGAAGCGAAACCCAAACCATCTTCCACAGATCCAACACTATCTCACGACCAATTCGTACGTATTCGATGCATGATTAAAAAGTGTCTAATTCGTACGACCTCACTCGTACTAATTCGTACGATTTGTCTAAACCCACGTGATGGTTAGGTTTAGGGGCGGGGTAAGGGGTCGGTCATTCGTACGAATTCATACGAATTGGCCAATTCGTAAAATATGTACGATTTAGCAAAATTGTATTAATTCGTACGAGTGAGGTCGTATGAATTGTTACGAATTAATCATTCGTCGAATTTGTACGACATAATTCCCAAGCCTCCTGGGATCAAATCAACTGACCGTTTATAGCCGATTTCTTTCTGGATTCATAAAAGTTGTGTTCATTTTTGTGAAGCGAAACGCAAACCATCTTCCACAGATCCCATCATTCCCAGGCCTCCTGGGACCAAATCAATCAATAACACGGATGTTCTGTATTTCAGCTCGGCTTGTTCGACGATCAAAGACTGCGTTCCCGGTTCCTGGTTTGCAAGCCAATTTGTCACCTTGCCTGAAAATCACATCCTTTCAGACAAAACATCAAAGCAATTAACTTATTGTGTAGTACTTCAATCTAAAGATATGAGATAAGATATACCGCCACCATTGTACAACAGCTGCGTTTTGCCTTTCCATTTGAGTGTGGGTGTCTTTGTGCGTTAGATTGTGGATAAGCCAGCGCAAGGTAAGGTAGGAGAGCGAGAGCCACAGATGCGGGCCTTTCTAAAGGTTCTGTCTGCCAGCCTGTGTTTACCTGACACTCAGATTGACAGCGGAGTGATTGGAAATATCCCCCACTCACTGGTGCGAGCCCCTGAGTGCAGGGAAAGTGCTTTTGTAGTCTGGCTGTAATGGCCCAAGTTTGAATTGAAGGTTGAAGGAAAACGCTGCTCTCTGGTCACTCTCGGGGAGGAGCTGACACAGTGGAAACGATGCAGCGAACAGAGTCTTAGTTCAGGAACGCAGCTGAGAGTGCAGAATGTCTCTGGGCTGTTATCTCAATGCAATCGTGCTAATCTTTTGCCGTTTATAAAAGCAACACCAACTTCTCAGACTCTTTTCTACTTCTGGACGAGTAGGACGATACAAAGTGATTTTTTTTTTTAAATATATGATCCTGAGATCAACTTCCACCTAGTTTTCCCTCCCCACTCATGCTCTCTGGTGAATAACAAAACAATCTGCTGAATTTGCCCCCAAGACAGTCTAATTTCCTAGTTAATTTCCTCATTCTGTGATGTTGAACTCCCTTGACGCACTATGATTCAGGGAGGCATAGGTACATCAGTTGTCTGCGTTATGGAAAATTAGAAACAGTATTATACTTTTTTTTCCTGTGAGATGGTGATGCTAACAAGAATAGTAGAACACAAACATGTTGTTTTAACCCATATAGCACAAGTCTATTTGATGTGATTTTTACATCTGGAAGACGTATTTTCAAGAGTGTTTGCTCATCTGCAATACGTCTATAGGACGTTTCCTGTCAGATGTCAAATAGACGTTTAGAAGATGTCAGTTTAACATGCATTCTAAATCATTACATCTTAAAGACATCTTCTAAACGTCTATTTGACATCTGACAGGAGACGTCCTATAGACGTATTTTTAAGAGTGTATAGACGTATTGCAGATGAGCAAACACTCTTAAAAATACGTCTTCCAGATGTAAAAATCACATCAAATAGACTTGTCTGGGAAATTGTCCATACAGAGTTTGTACATACTTGACATCAACACCTTCCACCAAATGTGGGTGGAGTTCAGCAGTGGCGTGTAATGCAGTCACTCTGTAGGATTGAATTTTATATACATTATACACATTTTCAATTAATGCATTTGAAATAATAAACTAGAGCAATTTAATGTGGTCAAAAATGTAGATTTTTTTCTTCTTCTTTTTCCATTTTATTAAGTCCAGACTAGTAAGCTCTTTTCAAGCGGTTTCCACAAAACATTGTTGTCAATTTTTTAAATGCCAAATTGTGCCTTTCCTAGTTTCTTTAGAGCACTTGATTGCTACCTTTCCCCTGTTGTGCTGCAGTAGATTAAAAAAAGAAATTAAAAATAGCCAGCATTATCACCTCTGTTTTACTTGTACACATTATGTTGCACTAGAAAACCTCCCAAAACTCTTTCATTGGTTAGAAATTTGATGTGCATTCTACATTATAATTGTATATCTATATTTCTGTGTTTGTATATAATGTTGGTGCATTGTCTTTTAGCACCAGTACCTTTTTTATGTTTCTCCTTGGGATATGGAGTATATGAGAGGTTATGTATTCCATTATGACACATCTTTGTGAAAAGATGCTGCTCCCTTCTGCATTTAGGCTGAGCTGCAGAAATCACTGATTATCATTAATCACTTGTGTTACTGGAGAAACACTTGACTTAGCTCAAGTGGCCTCTTACATTACACCACAAACCTCTTAATTGCTGATTATAAGACTATGAAAAAAAATGACGTATCATCAGTTTCTCTGCTTGTCTGAATATTCTTGCAAAATATCTGAAGAAAAAAAATCCTTAAAGAGTAAAACTTTCGTGATAATAAACTAAAAATAATTTAGTTTTGTTACGATTTTTGTTTTGTTTTGTCAAAACAATAACAAAACAAACCCTCGCGTTCACCAAACTGGCGGAAACTGTTCATCTTCACGGACAAAACTTGACGGACAACGAAACATAGGAAGCAGCCAGTTCAAAATGACGGACATCTCGTCCATCCAATAAAAAGGTGAGTTCTCCAACCCAACCTCCAATGAGATGAGAGACGAAGGGTGGGACTTCCTGTCGGTGACGCAGTTGGCGAAGTGGAAGCCCCGCCGTCAATCAAATTAGGAAAAAAAACAAACTGGACTAAAGCGAGCGCAGGCACCGATTAAAATAACCATGGTCGGAGTGTAATTAAACGCAGATATCAGTCTTCTTTAAAGAACTCACGTAATGACCGGTACGTAGGATTTGAAGAGCGTGAGATTGCTCCCAATGAATCTTTGTGCAAGCTATGTTTATGCTAAGCTAGGCTAATGTTAGCAGGCGGGTGAATCTGAGAGTTTAACATCCGCGGAGGTAATAAATTCAGAGCTCATATGATCCGTTAAAAAAACGCGTATGATGGCGTCTGTCCAGCAATCGCGCGATGTGTGGTTCTAATGGCTATGTTGTATCGTGTGTTTGTGTGTTTAAGCGCCTGAAGGGCCAGTGAAAGCGGGAGTCATGGCGGACAGCAGCAGCGCGCAGGACGGCGGCGGCGCGGATCAGGTAAATCACATCAAATCCTCAGCTCTCTTATTCTCTAATGCATGTGCTTTGGTGAAGTTTTCACTTTGTTGTGTTAAAACACTGGTACTTCCTGTGTGGCCACCCCCTTTCATGTATTAAACCCGCCCATCATCAGGACGGACAGCCCTCGCCGCTCGCCCTGCTCGCCGCCACTTGCACCGGCCTCGGAGCAGAGAACGGGGCAAACACGAATAATAATGGTGTTGCCGGGGTGGTAAGTCTGCAACTACAGATACATCACATTTATTGTACTATACCGTGGTTTGAGTGTGAGCTAGGGCTTGTTTACTGTGAATGAGTGCGTGTTTACTCCCCCCACACTTAAATGCGTAGGTCACCCTCAAAAATGAAATTCTGTCGTCATTTACTCTACCTCAAGTTATTCCACCTGTATACTGTAAGAATATGGGTAACCAAACTGTTGTGGAGCACCCATTGACTTCCATAGTAGGAAAAAAAAAATACTATGGAGGTCTGGTTACCGACATTATTCAAAATATCTTCATTTGTGTTTGGCAAAGGGAGGAAACTTATACAGGTTTGGAACAACATGATGGTGAGTAAATTAAGTATCCCATGATATAGGGAGGCACTGATCTGGTTGACCTTCCTTTTAGTTTAGTCTAAATAAATTGTATGATTCACATTCTTACCAGGAAATGTCCATAGGAAGACATCCTGTAACTGAGCAATCTTAGTTTGTGTTTTACTGGCTTATTAGTTGGTATCCGAGACCAACTAATGTGAAATAATGGACAAATGTCATGTTTAATCTCCCCTGAAAGCGAAACTGTGAGGGGCAGTCTGCATGGGAAAATATATATCAAAAACTTGGAAACGTTACTATTTTTACTTTTTGTGAGTCTCTTATGCTCACCAAGGCTACGTTTATGTGATCAAAAGTACAGAAAAAATATAATAAAATTGTAAAATAGTGTTTGAGTTTATAATAAAGGTTTTCTATTTGATTATATTTTAAAATATAATTTATTTATCATTACTCCAGTCTTCGGTGTCACATGATCCTTCAGAAATCACTCTAATATGATGATTTATCAATGTTGGAAACCAATGTTTATAACCTGTGATCCTTTTTTCAGGATTCTTTGAATAAAAAGTTTAAAAAGAACCTTTGTAATAATTTACACTATCATTCAAAAGTCTGGGATTGATTTTTCTTTGTTTTGAAAGAAATTAATACTTTTATTCAGCAAGGATGTGTTAAATTGATAAAAAAGTGATAGAAAAGATTTCTATTTTAAAGAAATGCAATTCTTTTAAACTTTATTCATCAACGAATCCTGAAAAAACTATCACAGATTATAAAAATATTAAGCAGCAAAACTGTTTTAAACATTATTACATCTTCATATTAGATTGATTTTTGAAGGATCTTGTGACACGGAAGACTCAAGTAATGATGCTGAAAATTCAGCTTTGATCACAGGAATAAATGACATTTTTACTAGGGCTGTCAAATGATTAATCGCATCCAAAATAAAAGTTTGTGTTTACATAATATATGTGGGTGCACTGTGTATAATTATTTTGTATATAAAGAATCACACACACGCATGCATTTATATTTAAGAAAAAAATATTATTTATATATAAAATATGTATATTTATATATAATATAAATCTATACAGTTTATACATGAAAAAAATTCTTAAATATATACAAGGCAAGCATGTGTGTGTATTTATACATATAAAATAATTATACACAGTGCACCCACATATATTATGTTAACACAAACTTTTATTTTGGATGCGATTAATCGTTTGATAGCCCTAATTTCGTTGTATTAAATATTTTAAATTGTAATATTTTAGCTACTGTTTTTTGATCAAACCAATGCAGCCATGGTAAAAACCCTCTTTATACCAGTTTCTCAGCCTTATTTTCACTTAAAAAAAAGTTAATATATCAAATATTTATGTTTATATATAATATTAATTGTGAATAAATTTATATAAAATATATACATGCACATATTTCTTAAATGTATACATGCATGTGTGTGTATTTATATATACAAATTAATTATACACACACCACACACACATATATTATGTAAACACAAACTTTTATTTTGGATGCGATTAATCTTTGCCCATCCCTACTAGGTCTACAACCTAATGTTGTTTTCCATTGATAAGAGACTTAATCCAGTGATGAAAAATGTCCATAATAAATCCATATTCACAAATTCAACTAATTTTATTGATTTTAAAACTTGCTGACTTTTCCTCATTTCTATTAGTGGAAAGTTGGAGTCTTTTGAGGATCCCTTATGATACTTGTTACCTTTCAGCGTTTCAGACCAAATTATTCCCTTCCGTAGGATGGGTTTGTCTATGTTTTGCATCTGTCCGCATAGTAGCAGCAAGAGATTTGACTGTACACGGTGCGCTTGTGATTTCCTCCCTAGAACGCAGACCTCTCAGTGCAGTTAACCGGGACGTCGGAAAGGTGGGAGGCGGTAAAGGACGACTCGGGTGTCCTGCATCTCCCCGGCACGGGTATCGTCACGTCCAACGGACAGTATGTTCTTCCTCTCCAGAGCCTCCAGGGTCTCCAGAGCCAGCCCATCTTACTCACGTCAGGGACCGACGCGTCTGCCGGCGCAGTGCCTAACATCCAATACCAGGTCATCCCTCAGGTGCAGACGGCCGACGGGCAGCTGGGTTTCGAGGGGGCTTCGATGGCGCAGGACGCCTCAGGGCAGATCCAGATCCTCCCGGACGGCACCCAGACCATCAGCGTCACGGGCACGACGGCGGCCGACGTGATCCGCAACACTCAGAACCTCATGACCCAGTCTGGCCAGGTGCACTTCAACAGTCAGGGTCAGATGGTCACTAACGTGCCTCTGGGTTTGCCTGGTAACATTACCTTTGTGCCCATAAACAGCGTGGATCTGGACTCTCTCGGGCTCTCGGGGGCCCAGGCAATAGCCACCGGCGTCACGGCTGACGGACAGCTGATCATGACCAATCAGAGCGTGGAGAACTCGGACGGCTCGGAGAAAGCAGGGGAACAGCACCAGACACTCAACTCGAATGCAGACATGTTTGTGCCTACCACATCTTCATCCTCCTCATCCTCGCAGCAGCAGGCCAGCACGATAGACGGCACGGGCGTGTTGACGCAGCCTGTGGCGGGAGAGCAGGGAGACGGGTCGGGATACCTCAGTCAGGGCACGGTGCAGGTGTCCGGGGGGCAGCAGGTCATCCAGTTACAGCAGCTGCCCTTGCAGACCGGTGACGGTCAGGCCCAGCAGAACATGCAAAACATCCAGCTCATCAACCCAGGCACATTCCTCATCCAGGCCCAGACCGTCTCACCGTCAGGACAGATACAGTGGCAGACCTTCCAGGTATGTGTTTAATTCATTTATAAACCGCCACGAGGCTGACCAAAGTGCTGTACAAGACTAAGAAGATAATACACACAAATATAATGTACACATTTAAGAAAAGTATAAAAAAACAAACAATACACCGGAGAAAACAAATACAGTGTGGTTATTAGGGATGCCAGTTTTCACAAATTCACATCCATCGTCGTTTAAATTAAGTCGTTAGCTAGATCCATTTACTTCAGTGGTGTAACAACAAGACAATGCTGGTCAAAACCAATGTTCCTCACCAAATGAATGAGGTGGCAGACCTTCCAGGTATGTGGTTATACATTTTGTGTTATTTTACATTACAGTTTTAGGGTTGGGGATTAACAACCATTTACAAAATGATGCAGTATACATCAGACAGTGTATGCTAGTAAAACAGTAATTCCTGCACCACTATTCATTAGTGGCCCTGAATATGACAACAAACATTATTTGACTAGCAAGCACCACCCATTTACAGACAGCGATCGATCATAAAAACTGGTTAGGCTTGATCATGCTTGCGTTACTGATTTTAAAGTTTAGAATCAAGAAAAGACTCACCAAGTTAAATCATGACACCAAGGGCTTAGAGGGTTAGTTTACCCAAAAATTAAAATGGGTAAGACTTTGGTTGTCTTCCAAATTAAGATATTCCATCCATTGAAAGCCTGGGTAATCAAAACTTATAGATCCAAATAGGTTATGACTGTGTCGTAAAACAAATCTCAATGAGCGTTTTAATCAATCTTCTGAAGAGATATGATGTCTTTACATGATGAAACGTTTTAATTTAGGCTTTCATTCACATATAAAGATATGGATATAGAGTAGAGCCAGACCGATATATCGGCAGACCGATATTATCGGCCGATATTAGGCATTTTCCAAACTATCGGTATCGGCAGTTATAATGGCTGATAAATGAATATTTCAAAAATAAAATAAAAACGGACGAAACGCGCTTGAACCATGTCATGAGTGTTGGAGTTGTATAGTTTGTCCACCAGAGGGCACTCTACACCGTTCCTGTTGGCAACACTCGTTGAGTTGGTCACGATACATACATTTGCTTGAATAACAATTAAAAGAACATCCTCATCAGTTCTCTTAACTCAAATAAGCATGACAAAATTTGTGACTAATCATCTCCAGTTTAAAAAATAAATAAATAACTAAAATATCGGCCGATATATGGGATTTTAAAACCCAAAAATATTTGTATCGGTATCGGCCTTAAATCCTTTATAGGTCAGGCTCTAATATAGAGTACATATGAATGAGGAGTCCATCACATGGTAAACACGGAGGTTTGTGTGCAACGTGCTAGAACAAACCTGCACTAAAACCAATGAGGTTTGTTCTTGCATGTAGCACCAGCTTCCATGTTTACCATATTGTGTATTAATGTTGAACATTTTTAGATGTAACTAAAAGCCTAAATTAAATCTGTTTATCGTGTAACTTAAGCGGATCGTATCTCTTCACAGGACTTTGAATAAACCACTCATTCGTTTTACAACGTCTTTATATCTTTTGGAGGGACACGTACCTTTCATTTAAAATATATTTATTTACATTGCGAAAAATAAGGATCTCATAGGCTTGGAATTAGGGCTGGGCGATATGGCCAAAAAATCATATCTCGATATTTTTTGGTCAAATGGCGATATACGATATATATCTCGGTACTTTCTACGTTTTCTATTTAGATAAAGAAAATCTTTATATTTAAAAAAAAAATAAAAAAAAAATATATTATATATATTCACATTCGGCCAATGATATCCTACAAACAATGTTGATATTGAAGGATATGGAAACAAATATAATATAGGCTATGCAATATATTTGTGCAAAAAGCTTTTGTTTTTATATTGACTAAAAGCTCAACTAAAAATTAAATAAAAACAAAAGCACAAACTAATTATATTAGCCTGCATTTGATTACCCCATTATAATCACTTTCACTTTCATTAAAATATATACTTGTAGGTTTAAAATTCCACATATGGCCATTTATTTTCTCCAACAACAAATATTTTAGCAATATGTTTTTTTAGTCAGAATTATTGCGTACTATGTAGTACTATCACGCGCATGCGCGCGCCGGCGCTCGTTCAAGGAAGCATGAATTTTAGCGAGATTCACTTGCAGAAGCTCGTCCTCTTCTGACATGGACATATATGTTGTGAAATGGACATATTTGCTTTACTTTCTAACATTTACAGACGGGATATACCTGTGAAATGTAAGTTGAGCACTGAGGAAAGCACCACATTCAAACGCATTAAACAGCGCAAGTATATCTGTCAGTCAGCAACAGTGTCTGTCAGAGCATTTGACAGGGCGGCAAGCTGCCTTAAACTTGTTAACTATATCAAAGTGATTTTGACGCAATTAATATAAGCTTGTGTCATGTTTAGGACAAATTGTACTACGTAGCCTAGCTACTTTCACTGCAGCAGCTCACACTGCAACCTCCGCTATTTTTCAGATGTGCTCATATCAAACTACTGTATCGATATAAACGGTATTGCCTCATTCCATATCGTTTAAAAAAATATAACGATACATCGTACATACTCGATATATCGCCCAGCCCTACTTGGAATAGGCATGTCAATTTACATTAATTCCCATAAACTATCCAGTTAACCTCTTAAATCCAAAAAGGGGGGATGCTACCAAGTTATCACGTTACTTGCTTAACCAACACATGGATGTCGCTTTAAGCTCGACTTTATAGTGAATATAGGCAATATGACCATCATCGTACATAACAGACTATATCATTGAAAACGTCTCAACTATCAGAATACAACAAGCACATTGATTTCATTTAGAGAACAAACTATACCAAGTATTTGTATAAAAAAAAAGTTTGCGCCACGCTTTGGTTTGTAACCCCATAGTAGGTTTGCATATCTTTATTTAGAGCAGGTGGTCTTGAACGAGCCCAAACACAACATAAGACACTGCTTAATCACGGAGTGACATTGACCTACCAATTGGCTAAAGCGTTGCAATCATGACACTTTGTTTTCCAACGTCGTCTGAAAGTTCAACCATTGGAAACTGGTTGAGTTCGGTGTGTAGACATGATGTGTAGAGACCAATCGGACACGGTTTTACAGCTGGAGCGTGCTTGGATTGGCTATTTATTATCAGTAATTATCAACAATTAATCCATTGGTGATTAATCGTTACCATCCCTAGTTTGGAAAAAGACGAGTAAATGGTGATATTTTAATTTTTGTGTGTTATCTTCTTTACCCATTCTGCTGTTCCAATCTGTCCCCGCAGGTCCAAGGAGTTCAGAACCTCCAGAACCTTCAGCTCCAGACGGCTCCCGCTCAGCAGATCACTCTCGCCCCGGTGCAAACGCTGTCTCTGGGCCAGGCCGGCACACAGGTCAGCCTGAGCTCGGGTCAGATGCCTAACCTGCAGTCGGTGACGGTCAACACCATGGGCCAGGCGGGCATTCAGTTCCAGCAGTCCGAGGACACCGACAGCACTGGAGGTACAGCAGTTCAGGGAGGGTGGGGATACATGGCTTTCCCAATCCTGGTCCTGGAGGACCCCAACACTGCTCATTTTTGATGTCTCTCTTTTCTGGCACACTCGGTCTTTAACGAGCCGATGAGTTGAATCAGGTGTGATTGAACAGGGAGACTTTAAAAAGGTGCTGGGGTTCCTCCAGGAACAGAGTTGAGAAGAACCACTGATTTATGGGGGGGGAAAACATGGTAGATAAATGCAGGGCCCTATGAAATTCTGTGTTTTCCAGTTTAATTAGTCTGGATTCTGTTTAAATTGTTCTATTTGATTATTAATATTTGTCCAGATAATTTAAGAACACTTAATTTGACGTATTAAAATTTGAACAATAATAGTGTCCTGTGAAGCATTTTTTTTCCCCCGTCTGTTTTAAATGATCAATTAATTGCATAAAAAATTCCTTTCATTTTATGGCAATCAAAGTGCTGCACAACATTAGATTAAAATTGTGGTATTCCTTAAACATTTTAACCTCTTATTATTGTTATGCCAGTACATTTTTACTGTACATAGTCAGTCATGAATTTAATCGAAGTGTGTGAATCTGACAATAGTATTATCAAATGAAATGGAAAAATGCGTGTTCTCGTGAGACGGCTGATAACACCTCAAGCGCCACGCGTGCTTCAGTATTTGTGTAGTAGCCCAAACTGTGGTGCTCATTCACACACACAAAGCAAGCAGAAGTTTAAAAAAGCTGTCTTTTTGTGGTTTTATATTCACACTTGTCCATAATGCAGTTTTATAACCCCACTTTTAATTTATGCAAATTCAAAGTGTTCCAAATTCCGTGACATTCCACGTCACGCTGTGAATTCCATTGGAATCTGTGATTCCGTAGTGCCTTTGTGGAATCTTCAGGCCCTATATAGAGTAAACAAGATCAAAATTAAAGAGGGAAGATGTGTGTGGCCGTAATTATGCAGTGCTGTTAGTGTAACGCTGATCATACTATACTCTATAGATATTCAGATTAAGGAGGAGCCTGATTCGGAGGAGTGGCCTCTGGACAGTAGCTCTACGCTGAATGCCAATGACCTCTCTCACCTTCGTGTTCGTTTAGTGGAGGAGGAGATGGAGGGATTGAGCCAGGAGGGCAAACGTCTGCGCAGGGTCGCTTGCACCTGCCCCAACTGCAAAGAGGGAGGTGGGAGGTGAGCTCACACTGCTAAAAGCACTGCTGTTTCCTTTTAGCAGCTCATTTTGTTTTGAGACGCAGGAAAATTTATATTCATGTGTAATACAGACACCCTATGGTGTGTGTTTGACTACATGTCTTCATTACTGGATGCGTGTAGTATATTTCCATTCTGACTGTACATTTGTAATTATATGTTGTAGGGGATCTAACATGGGCAAGAAGAAACAGCATGTGTGCCATATAGCTGGCTGCGGGAAGGTATACGGGAAGACGTCTCATTTGCGGGCTCACCTGCGCTGGCACTCGGGAGAGAGACCCTTTGTCTGCACCTGGATGTTTTGTGGGAAGAGGTTCACGCGCAGTGATGAATTGCAGCGACACAGGAGAACGCACACTGGTAGTCTTCCTCACACACACACACACACACACACGTTTCTCACTGCCTCTGTGACTACCTCGGTTCCCAAACCTTGTGAGCCTCCTTGCTTACATAGGCAGCGAATGTCTTAGGCCCCGATCACATTGAACGTGCAGTGCGCTGCGTTTTTTATGTTGCTAGGCAACCAACGAAACGGCGATCCTCTCGGTCAAGTAAACGTCGAATCAGCCCTTTATTTACTTTCTGTTAACATTGTGGTATTTACGTTTCGTGAAGTCGCTATGCTTCCGGTAAGCCGCGAGAGCACCACAAGTTTCTCCTCCATCATCGCAGTCTCCGGACGTTCAAAGCAGCTGCAGCTTTCATCACTACAACGGAACGCCTCTCAATTTATTCGATTGGACAGTGGAAAAAAACACGATGACGTTGTTGTTGTTTTTTAAGTGCAAAAACGTGGGGCATCTGGGGTGCATAAATAGTGCACAGAACGCTTGCTGCCATAGGAAAACATTTCAAAAAGGCGCCTCTCACTGCAAAAAACGCGTTTGGTGTGATCGGGGCCTTAGGCACCATCCTGACCTGTGTAGAGTCTCAGTAGTGACTTATTTGGAGTTTGATGTTAGCATTACAGTACAACAGTGCAGCTGACAATTTGTGGCAAACATATAGGCTATACATATAAAACACAATGTGGTTATAGGCTATACATATAAAACATAATGCGTTTCAGTATTCTCATTTCTTCCCAACTTTCTTAAACATCACCTGTACGAAAAGAAAAAAAAATTCTTTAAATAATGTATCTTCCAGCCTTGGGTGATGTCAGTACATATAATACCAACAATTTTGAGTGTTGGGTGCTGCTAACAGACAAGTTTAGGGTCAGGTTTTTTTTTTGAAGAAGAAGAAGAAGAATTGATGTTACCACTTTAACTACTATGTAGTAACATTTTAAATTAATCATTTGAGACAATGCTCTTATTCTGCAATTTTTTTACACACACACACACACACATATATATATATACACACCTAACCCTCCTGCATCCAGCATATCCAGATAAAAGTGCATCTCTCCATGATAAAAGTGCATCTCTCCATGATAAAAGTGCATCTAACCATGATAAAAGTGCATCTCTCCATGATAAAAGTGCATCTAACCATGATAAAAGTGCATCTAACCATGATAAAAGTGCGTCTATCCATGATAAAAGTGCATCTCTCCATCATAAAAGTGCATCTATCCATCATAAAAGTGCATCTATCCATCATAAAAGTGCATCTAACCATCATAAAAGTGCATCTAACCATCATAAAAGTGCATCTAACCATCATAAAAGTGCATCTATCCATCATAAAAGTGCATCTATCCATCATAAAAGTGCATCTATCCATGATAAAAGTCCATCTATCCATCATAAAAGTGCATCTAACCATCATAAAAGTGCATCTAACCATCATAAAAGTGCATCTATCCATCATAAAAGTGCATCTATCCATCATAAAAGTGCACCTAACCATCATAAAAGTGCATCTGTCCATCATAAAAGTGCATCTATCCATCATAAAAGTGCATCTATCGATCATAAAAGTGCATCTAACCATCATAAAAGTGCATCTGTCCATCATAAAAGTGCATCTATCCATCATAAAAGTGCATCTATCCATCATAAAAGTGCATCTAACCATCATAAAAGTGCATCTATCCATCATAAAAGTGCATCTATCGATCATAAAAGTGCATCTAACCATCATAAAAGTGCATCTCTCCATGATAAAAGCGCATCTATCAATCATAAAAGAGCCTCTCTCCATGATAAAAGTAATCCATACTACTCCGGGGGTTAATAAAGTATTGGAAGCGATGCGTTTGTGTAGGGAAAAAAAATCAATATTTAAAACTTTAAAGTAAAATAACTCTCTTCCGGCCAAACAAACATATGCAGTCTACTTCCACCTAAAGCGCAACTTAATGGCCGTTCGCTTAAGTTTTAAATATGGATATTTTTCTTACTCAAATGCATATTTTTAAGTAGGCTTCATGTAGGGAGCTCACTATCTCTTTCTTTTTCTCATTTATGTCATTCATTCACCAGGAGAGAAGAAGTTCGTGTGTTCCGAGTGTTCGAAGAGATTCATGCGCAGCGATCACCTGGCCAAGCACATAAAGACGCACCAGAACAAGAAGGGAGGAGGCGGAGCCGTGGTGTCCAGTGTGGGCGGAGCCATGTCCTCGGACAGCATCATCACGGCGGGCGGCACCACGCTCATCCTCACCAACATCCAGGCCGGCTCCATGCAGGGCCTCGCCACCGTCAACGCCACCGTCAACACCTCCAGCTCGCAGGACCAGCTGGGCTCAGCCGAGATCCCGCTGCAGTTAGTGTCCGTGTCCACCGGGGACGGGGTCGAGTGATCGTGTGACGAGTCCTACAGGAGAGGAACATCATCCTAAAGGTCCCGCCTCTTCCTGTACGACATCACATCCTCTTCTCCCACAAACTTTAGACTCCATTTTGACTACGTCGATCGATTCCACGCTCACGCATATACCTTGCTTTTATACCTTTACATATTTACCCTCCTTTACGTAAATATGTACATTTACGTGAATGCATATACACACACACACACACACACACACACACATACACGCATATATAAATATATATATATTTTACAAATATAGAGTTATTGGGGGATTTGTTCATCTTTTTATGGGGGAAGCATTATTTCTTGTTTCACATACAACACTGAAATGCCTTATATTGTATTATAAGCTGTCGTGTACAAAGGCCGAGTCGCTCAAGCATCTGTTTCAGTGTGTACTTGTTGGAATGGGTTTAATCGCAGCGCTGGTGATAAACGGGTGGCTGGTGATGTTGAACGGAACGGTTTAGCCAAAAAGTGAAAGATCTCTCATTATTTCTTCCCCCATGTTTGGTTTTAGAAGAATTACACACAACAACAGGGACATAAACGGCCAGTTTGTGTCTCGAGCACTTTATTTAAAATAATCTGAAGTCATATTGTGTGAGAAATGGACCAAAAGTGGGTGAACAACATCCCATCTGGCCGCAGCTTGTTCACCATTTGCCCCTGTAACGTTTAGTTGACTGTATGTGAGAACCTGATGCCAGTAATGTTGACTCGTGAGCTTTGGGTGGATGGGAAGTTGCAAATCTGTTCCTCACCAAAAAAAAAAAAAAAAGTTTGGGAATGTAGCGTCGTAGGCTTGAACTGCTTTTCGGGAAGTGGGGGAGTAAGTAATGGCAGAATTTCCATTTGTGGCTTAGCTCTTTCTTTCATTGTAATTCTAGGTTGTAAGTGATATTCGTGGTGTAAGTTCTCCAAACAAGGAGAGAGATGTAAAACAAAAGACCTTGCCTGCCAGTTTGCTGTTGGGAGTCATGAAGGTGTCCAATAGTGTCTTCTTATTTTATGTGGTTTTATTTTGTGTAGGTAAACCAGGCCCAACGAATGGGGCAAATATGAAACAATCATGTAATTAAAAGCATTTTATGTACCATAATTCTCAAAACCTCTTCGAGTTGATCAGATCTTTCAATATGAATTTGTTGCGAATGAAGTCTTTTTGAGCAAAAAGATATTTATATACATTGTAATCTGGATTTGTGGTGTCCACAACTGCTTTTCTAAAGGAAAAAAACTCCCTTCGGCTTTACTTTTTTAAAAGACTGGACTGTGATCAGCATCAAGAATCGTTTGTATGAATCGGTTTGTAGTTCGCCAAACTGAATTCGCACTCTTTGATAAAATCGAGAGAGAAACTGTTCATTTTTTTATTTTTTTTTGTCTGATGGTTTTGCAGCATTAATGTGTATAACTGTGTTTCAGGACCAAAAGAGCCGCTCCGGGTCGCTCTATCAATGCTGTGTCGAAACGACAGCCTATAGGGGATGTGTGTCAACCAATGTTAAACAACCTAAAGCTTTGTGGGTCAATATCAGTCACATCACTACCTAACTGCGATGATGATGATTTCACGTTGGTTCTCAGAGTCCTCCCTCATTTTGTAAGGGTCATCAGTCAGGACACACTCATTTGCTGTCAGTATGGCTTTCTTTCCACGCGGTACTGTACAGTTATTCTCTCGGCTTACGTTTTTATTCCTTCAACTAATCATGATTGTCTCTTATCCACCGATTCTGAGTACCATTGCCAATTTTTTTTGTGTTGGGGGGGATTTTAAACCTCCCATAGCCAAGTTTGTAACGATCAGAAGTTTCCCACGTGAGTTTGATTGAAACGGTCCAGTGGGGGTTTATGGCAGATCATGAAACACTATCTTGTTTTCGGAGTTGTTCTTCTGTCACAGTGATCCAGAATTGCATTTTTTTTTTTTAGTCTATTAGTTTGTAAAGTCTAAATTTGATTTTGTTCATTATAAATAGCATCTTAACGTGTCACTTTTATTATTATTTTTTATTTGGTCATTTTTTTCAAGAAATCTTCAGACTATTGTACAATGCCCACTTTTGAGGGCAGCTGTTTATTTCACACTAAAATGACTAAACATAATCCTGTGCTTGTCAGTTGTCTTATTCTCAGACTTGCATACAGTACACAACTTTAAATGGTTAGTTGACAAATCCTTATACACTTTTTTTTTTTTTACACACCGTTCAAAAGTTTGGGGGCAGTAAGATTTATTTTTTTATTAATTTTATTCAGTAGGGACACATTACAGTGATCAAAAGAGACAGTGAAGACATTACTATGATACATTATTTCAAATAAACGTCAAAGAATCCTGAAAATGCATCAGTTTCCACAAAAAAAACAACAACAAAGCAGCACAATGTAGTTTTTAACAAGAAATGTTCATGTTTTTTAAGCATCAAATCATCATAGAATGATTTCTGAAGGATCATGTGACACTGAAGACTGGAGTAATGATGCTGAAAATTCAGCTTTGGCAATAATTAAAGTGGACTTATTTTAATTTGTAACATTTCGCAATATTACTGTTTACTGTATTTTTGGTCAAATAAATGCAACCTTGGTGAGCATAAAAAAAAACTTCAAAAACACTTGAGCTGTAGTGTCTTTAGTCACCATTTACTTTACATTTTCCCTCTTTTGCCTTTAAAAATGGGGAAAAAATGTTCCCCGTAATCTGTAGTTGTTTTTATTTGAGCTTTTGTGCATGTTACCAAAAAAGGACTTTGATATTACACACTGGAACGTTGTTGCTGTTCACCGTTAGGGACTATTTTTTCTAGCGGAAGGAAGGCTTTTAGTGATTTTACTTCATGAAAGTTGCACTAATACATATTTTAATGCAAAAAAATGTTCCCTGTAATCTGTACATTAATATGGGTCATAAAAAGTATCATGCACCTGCTTTAACTCTAAAACTATTGGACAGCCAAAAGCTCTTACTAGTTTTAAAGGAACACTTTGACGTTTTTGGGACTTTGGCTTATTCACCATATCCCCCAGAGTTAGATAAGTCCATACATGCCTTTTTCATCTCTATGTGTGCTGTAACTCTGTCAGACGCCCCCACCGCTAGCCTAGCTTAGCACAAACACTGGATGTAAATGGCTACAGCTAGCATACTAATCCTAATAAAAGACAAAACACAAACATTTTCCTATTTACATGTTGTGATTTGTATAGTCACAGAGTGTACAAATCACAAGGTCAAATGAGATATAGCCATCTTTTAACCATATAAATATTGGGAACTATATTCTCAGAAGGTACTATAGGAACTATACTATAGGAACTATATTCTCAGTGCTTCGCGTTATAAGAATATAGCTCCCAATATTTATGCGGTTAAAAGATATCTGTGTTTCATATGACCTTGTTGACTATACAAATCACAACATATAAACAAGAAAATATCACTATTTTGTCTCTTATTGGGATTATGCTAGCTGTAGCCATTTACTTCCAGTCTTTGTGCTAAGCTAGGCTAGCGGTGGGTACGTCAGATAGTTACAGCACGCACAGAGATGAAGTCCAAAAAAAGTCGGAGTGTTCCTTTAAGACCACACATTTTGTAATTGAAATGTTCTCCCCGATTATGTTAACTGCTTTGACTGTGTGTGTAACCTTTGTGTGTGTGAAGTCCAGTAGATGTCACTGCAGCAGCAGGACACGCTGCTGAATCTTTGACCTCTCAGTCCAGTGATATATTCCTCATCTCAAATGCGTTTAGAAGCTTCTCTGACCTAGTCAGTTAAAATATGTATAAAATACGCCGGCATGAACAGCATCCACCCACTGCTTCACCCCCTTAAATTGCATGTGAAATGTTATTTTATTTTTGAACTTGCTCAAGTGTGAATAAAATTCCCCTTCATGCGTTTTTCATTTTCACTTCAGAAATACACTTACAGCAATTTCCTCTTAGAGAGGCTTATATATTAAAACCACATCATTCTTCCTGATCGAACTGTTTTACATTGTTTTTATGTGAATACTAAATCCTGTGGTGTGGAAATTGATTTTTTAGGTTCTAAATTATAGTCATGTATATGGAAAAATTATATTTTAGATGCTTGTGACCAAGAAATAATATGCCTATAAATATATTCACATTTTTGCAGTTCACTTGAAAGGATATTTCAACCAAAAATAATAATTCTGTCATCGTTTACTCACCCTCATGTCTTTTCAAACCTGTATGCAGTTTTTTTTTTTTCTCCTGAGGAACATAAAAGATATTTGGTAACCAAACATTTTTGGTTCCAATTTACTTCCAAAAATACAATGTAAGTCAGTGTAACCTTTGTGTGTGAAGGGTCTTCTTTCACCAAAACAAATGCCTTGTGTGTGTAAAGACTTAGCAATACAGCTCTTTCTGATTCTGGTAACCAATATTCTTCAAAATTACACAATAGCATGTCATGTTCCCCAAAAGAAAGTGATATGAATGAATGAAACCTTTATTGCCCCAAGGGGAATTTGTTTGGCACTCAAGGGAGCCACATTGAACTTTAGCACTGATAACACTATGAAAAATAAAATAAAAAACACACCCAACAACATTGTAACCATAGAGGATACAGAAAACAGAACACAAACATCACAGCAATGGTGGTGGCATGGACGCATCAGTCCAATAGCTGAGATTAATTAATAAATAATAAATACATAGTAAATTTTGCACATTATAAAATTTCTCTGTGCCTGACTGTGTCTAATATGGGTTTGGATGGAACAACCTTTTCATTAGCACTTTTATTTTTTGTGAACTATCCCTTTAAATAGCCTTGTGGTGTGTGAAACGATTTTTTTTTTAAACACAAATACCCCATATATCCTTTTATTTATACTGAATGTACACTATATGTAATTTTTGGACCTCTAGCGGTAAAAAAAAACTGCACGCATTTTGCGGAAGAACATTGTTTTAAGTTGTGCTTCGGTTCTACGTGACTGAGCGGATGAATATGAGCCTTCACGATAGATAATGCTTTACAATGAACTCAGTTAGAGAGCTATTATGGCAATTTATCAGTTCAATAAAACACCTTACTCACCTGTTGGGAAATAAAAAGCCATCATATCCACGTTGCTTTTACAACCTTTCAAATCCCTGTTCTCGGCATCTCTGAAGAGCCACATCAAAGTTGACTCTGGTTTTATTGTGATCTCTGACTCTCCTTTAGCCAGCAAACCTTCTTCTTTTCAGCGTTGGTTTAAAATGGATGATTCCCCGGACGGAGGTTTGAGAATAACTGCTCAATATCATTTGTGACAACTAAACCTCTGCTACTCATTCCCACACCATATGAGTCAAAGTAGCCGGAGAACTTTTCATTATTTACGGATTTGACGTGACACGCACGGGTGAGTGACGCATTAATGCAATTTTCCCACGAAAATGCACCACAGCGCTTGCATCGAGTACCTTGCTTTATAAAACGATACCACACAATAAAATATTTAAGAAAAAAAATATTGCAAGGTTCATGCAGTAAAATCATTAAAAGCCTTCCTTCCGCTAGATTCTAAAAATAGTTTTTTATTTGAGCTTTCATTCATGTTACCAAAAAAGGACTTTGATTTTACACATTGGAGCGTTGTTGCTGTTCACGGTCAGGGACTATTTTTTCTAGCGGAAGGAAGGATTTTAGTGATTTTACTTCATGAAAGTTGCACTAATACACATTTTTTTACTTTAATATTTTATTGTGTAGTGGTAACCGTTTTATAAAAGCAATAAGGTACTCGAGGCAAGCGCTGTTTCGTGAATAAGTATCCGCTTCGTGTCGTGCCTAACAACGCCCTTCAGCCGTTACTTATTCACGATACAGCACAGCATGCAAACTCACTCACAATCATTATAAAAGAAAACATAATAATAGTTAGCATAGGATGATTTCGGCCCATGCCTTGACTTTTCATGTTAACTATCCCCGGAAGTTTTGGCATTTTAAATTGCAACTGAACATAGCATGACTGGAATCCCTCTGTTTGTATCTAATCATTTCACACTGCAGCTGGACGCCTCAAATCAATAATTGAAGGACTGAATTGACTTGGAAGATTTTTGCCATTCATGTGCCTCAAGTGAGGAATGGTTTCAAACTGGTAATGTACTGCAGTTTTATATTAGTGTGTTTATTTAATTGCAATAGGTTGCACTTTATTGTAAGGTAGTTACATTGTAGTCTACTTAAATTAGAACTGAATAATTTAAATCATGTACTTACTGTGGAGTTAGGGTTGGGGTTTAGGGTTAGCTACTTGTAATATTGTATAATTTGCTGTTATTAGGCCTACTATAGTTTGTAGCCTACATGTAGTAACGTGTAAATGCCACCTTAAAATAAAATGTTACCTTACCTTATATTTACCTATTTACCTTTATGTATTTATCTTGATTACCTTTTGTTTTATTTAATTTAATTTAATGTAATATTTATTTTACCCTTTTAGTGGCCTATGATAAATGTGCTTATTATTAGGCTATTTCTTTCTTTCTTTCTTGATTAATTGTGGTTGAATTTTTTGTGTTGCGTTTTCTGTTAAAGTTGGAAAATTATATATATATATATATATATATATATATATATGGGTTGCAGGTACACTGTCAAAAGTGTGTCCACTGAAATCTTTTATCAGTTAAATCAAAGTGAAAAGAAGCACATGCTCCTGAATTTGACGTGATTTGTTGCAGAGATTCAGACCAAACCGTCTATTAACGTTCATATGGAGCCGTCCGTTGCTTGCCACCTTTAATTTGCATAATTTAATGAATTCAATTCATTGTAATGCAATACAGAGAGCACGGTGAACATGAAATGACAGTTTGAGTTAATGAAATGTGTTAACGGTATCATCATTTACTTGTATGTTAATTAGTCCAATTAATTTCCAGTGCACGGTAATCTGAATATTGTAATAGCGGCGTGCGTGTCTGAAGTCAGGTTGGGAGCGGGGCATATTGAAATGGGGCCTATGAATCATAACCTTCTCACCTTTCCAAGCCATTTCCACAGATTACCCACAATCCTCACACGTTTCCATTCGGACTGGACCCTCTTTATCCAGCTGAT